GCGCTGCGCAAGTATTAAGCGCTGCGCTGACACGCAGTGCGAGTGCCGAGTAGCGTAGCTCTCCCTTCCCAAGAAATAGCGTAGCTGCGAGTCGCGCAGCACCTCGACCAGGGCGCTCAGGGTGCGTAGCACGTGCCACCGGGCTTGCCGCCTGCGGCACGGCGCTCTGCGCACACACAGCACTTTCGGCAGGGCGCTCTGGGGCGTGCGCACGCACGCAATTGGCGCGCTGAGCTCCAGTGCTGTGCCCATGCCTGGCTGCAAAGCACCGCAGGGCTGCACGCACCCACAGCACGAGGATTAAGCGCTGCGCTCGCACCCAGCGCTTAGTCTTAGCGCAGCCCTCCCTTCCCGGTAAATCGCGTAGCCGTGTGTGTGCAGCGCTTAACACCCGGGCGCTCTGGGGTGCACAGCGCCCAGGTAAAGGGGTTACAGGCAGAGCGGCCATGTGCCAAGTGCTGTGCCTGCATGCAGGGTGGGTGTCGTAAAAGCGCAGCCCTTTCCCCACCCAAATAAAAACCAGCGTAGCTCTTCCTGCCAAATAAATAGGGTAGTTGTGTGTGTGCAGCACTTAACTCTGGGGCACTATGGATGCACAGCACTTACAGCTGGGCACCCCGATGGTGCAGAGCTGTGAAGCGCTGCAGGCCCCGTGCCCTGCTGCAGGGCTGCATGCACACAGCGCGAGGATCAAGCGCTGTGCCCGCATGCAGCATCTTTAAGGGAGTGCTACACGCTAGTGCAGCCTGCCCTTCCTTCCCAGTAACGCAGGGGTCTGTTTGAGTGTCTTAGCGTAGCCCTTCCTTTATTTTGGGAGGGAAACCCAACAGCACAGCCCTCGTTGGCTGATGGGGGGGTGCATGCATGGACGCAGCATGTTGGAGCGCTGAATGAAGGAGCTGTGTATGTGCAGTGCCCTGCTGCAATACTCAGGCTTTGCAGCACCGTGTGTACCCAAGTACAGTACCAAGTGCTAACGAGCCTCTAATAAAAGAGCAATAAATAGCACAGCCCCCCCCCATAGGGGGCAGTGGGTGGCACTTGGACTGGGGCAGCGTGTGTGTGGCTGCGTGCACTCACAGCGCAGCGGCCCTGACTG